CGCCTAATTAATAGGCTTAATTAATGAGCCTAATTAATAAGGTTAATTAAAGATTCTAATGAATAAGACTAATTAACGAGGACTAATTAATGGTGATAATTAATCCTCGGCCCAATCCCTGGGCACCTTCTGGGCCCCGGGAGCTTTGTTTTCAACAGCCGTGAGGACCCCGCCCTAATTAATTAGCCAATTAATTAATTAATGAGTTAACGCCCACGGCGCTAATTAGGAGCACTTCCAAGATACCTTGGGGACACCCTGGGGACACCTTGAGGACATCTCAAGGACAACTTGAGGACACCTTGGGGACACCTTGGGGACACCTTGAGGGCACCTCCAAGATACCTTGGGGACACCCTGGGGACACCCTGGAGACACCTTGAGGACACCCTGGGGACATCTTGGGGACACCTTGAGGACACCTTGAGGACACCTTGGGGACACCTCGAAGACATCTCAAGGACAACTTGAGGACACCTCGGGGACACTTTGAGGACACCTTGGGGACACCTTGGGGACACCTTGGGGACACCTCGAAGACACCTTGAGGACACCTTGAGGACATCTCAAGGACAACTTGAGGACACCTTGGGGACACCTTGGGGATACCTTGAGGACACCTCGAGAACATCTCAAGGACAACTTGAGGACACCTCGGGGACACCCTGGGGACATCTTGAGGACATCTTGAGGACACCCTGGGGACATCTTGGGGACACCTTGAGGGCACCTCCAAGATACCTTGGGGACACCTCGGGGACACCTTGGGGAGACCCTGGGGACACCTCGAAGGCATCTCAAGGGCAACTTGAGGACACCTCGGGGACACCCTGGGGACATCTTGAGGACACCTCGAGGACACTTTGAGGACACCTTGGGGACACCTTGAGGACACCTCGAGGACATCTCAAGGACATCTCAAGGACAACTTGAGGACACCTCGGGGACACCCTGGGGACATCTTGGGGACACCTTGAGGACACCTTGGGGACACCTTGGGGACACCTTGGGGACACCTTGAGGACACCTTGGGGACATCTTGAGGACACCTCGAGGACACCTTGGGGACACCTTGGGGACACTCTGGGGACACCTCGGGGATACCTTGGAGACACCTCGGAGAAACCCTGGGGACACCTTGGGGACATCTCGGGGGGAGGGAGGGGGACACCTCGAGGAGACCTGGGGACACCTTGAAGACATCCTGGGGACATCTCAGGAACACTTTGGGGACACCCTGGGGACATCTTGAGGACACCTCAGGGACGTCTCAGGGGGACGGACGGGGACACCTCGAGGAGACCTGGGGACACCTTGAAGACATCCTGGGGACATCTCAGGAACACTTTGGGGACACCCTGGGGACATCTTGAGGACACCTCAGGGACGTCTCAGGGGGACGGACGGGGACACCTCGAGGAGACCTGGGGACACCTTGAGGACACTTTGGGGACAGCCTGGGGACATCTTGGGGACACCTCGGGGACACCTTGAGGACACCTCGAGGACATCTCAAGCACTTGACCTTGGAGTTGGGGACAGGAAGTTGTCCCCATGGGTGGCCTCTCCCTGAGCTCCCTGTCCCTTGTCCCCAAGCCCGTCCCAGGGTCCCCAAGACGAACCCAGTTGCCCCAGTGCCACCTCCAGGTGCCCAAACTGGTCACTCCAGTTCCTGGCAGGAACCTGGCGGGGCCCCAGGAAAGGAGGTGACAAAGGAGGTGACAATGAGGACAGGTTGGGGACGTGGAGGGGGGGTGGGGGACGTGGCCACCACCTTGGTGGCAACCAAGGGGCCACCAAGGTCCCCACGTGGGGATTTGGGGACAGAGAGGTGTCACCAGGGCCATCTCAAGGAGGTTTTGGGGGACACAAAGGTGTCCCCAAGGCCACCTCAAAGAGGTTTTGGGGACCGAGAGGTGTCACCAAGGCCACCTCAAGGGGGTTGGTGACACAAAGGTGCCACCAAGGCCACCCCAGGGGTGTTTTGGGGACACAGCGGTGTCACCGAGGCCACCTCAAGGGGGTTTGGTGCCACCAAGGCCACCTCAAGGAGGTTTTGGGGACCAAGAGGTGCCACCAAGGCCATCTCAAGGAGGTTTTGGGGACCAAGAGGTGCCACCAAGGCCACCCCAAGGGTGTTGGGGACAAAGAGGTGTCACTGAGGCCACCTCAAGGGGGTTTGGGGACCGAGAGGTGCCACCAAGGCCACCTCAAGGGGGTTGGGGACACAAAGATGCCACCAAGGCCACCCCAGGGGGGTTTTGGGGAAACAGAGGTGTCCCCAAGGCCACCGCAAAGAGGTTTTGGGGACACAAAGGTGTCACCGAGGCCACCTCGAGGGGGTTTGGGGACCAAGAGGGGCCACCAAGGCCACCCCAAGGGGGGTTGGGGACACTAAGGTGCCACCAAGGCCACCTCAAGGGGGTTGGGGACACAAAGATGCCACCAAGGCCACCTCAAGGGGGTTGGGGACACAAAGATGCCACCAAGGCCACCTCAAGGGGGTTGGGGACACAAAGATGCCACCAAGGCCACCTCAAGGGGGTTGGGGACACAAAGATGCCACCAAGGCCACCCCAGGGGTGTTTTGGGGACACTAAGGTGACACCAAGGCCACCTCAAAGGGTTGTTGGGGACAAAGAGGTGTCACCGAGGCCACCTCAAGAGGGTTTTGGTGACACCAAGGCCACCTCAAGGAGGTTTTGGGGACACAAAGGTGTCACCAAGGCCACCCCGAGGGGGTTTTGGGGGACAAAAAGGTGTCCCTGAGGCCACCTCAAGGGGGGTTGGGGACACTAAGGTGCCACCAAGGTCACCTCAAGAGGGTTTTGGGGACACAGAGGTGTCACCAAGGCCACCTCAAGAGGGTTTTGGGGACAGAGAGGTGTCACCAAGGCCACCTCAAGGGGTGTTTTGGGGACACAGAGGTGTCACCGAGGCCACCTCAAGGGGGTTTTGGGGACCAAGAGGTGCCACCAAGGCCACCCCAATGGCCTTTGGGGACACAAAGGTGTCACCAGGGCCATCTCAAGGAGGTTTTGGGGGACACAAAGGTGTCCCCAAGGCCACCTCAAAGAGGTTTTGGGGACCGAGAGGTGTCACCAAGGCCACCTCAAGGGGGTTGGTGACACTGAGGTGCCACCAAGGCCACCCCAATGGCCTTTGGGGACACAAAGGTGTCACCAAGGCCACCTCGAGGGGGGTTGGGGACACTAAGGTGCCACCAAGGCCACCCCAGGGGTGTTTTGGGGACACTAAGGTGACACCAAGGCCACCTCAAAGGGTTGTTGGGGACAAAGAGGTGTCACCGAGGCCACCTCAAGAGGGTTTTGGTGACACCAAGGCCACCTCAAGGAGGTTTTGGGGACACAAAGGTGTCACCAAGGCCACCCCGAGGGGGTTTTGGGGGACAAAAAGGTGTCCCTGAGGCCACCTCAAGGGGGGTTGGGGACACTAAGGTGCCACCAAGGTCACCTCAAGAGGGTTTTGGGGACACAGAGGTGTCACCAAGGCCACCTCAAGAGGGTTTTGGGGACAGAGAGGTGTCACCAAGGCCACCTCAAGGGGTGTTTTGGGGACACAGAGGTGTCACCGAGGCCACCTCAAGGGGGTTTTGGGGACCAAGAGGTGCCACCAAGGCCACCTCAAGGGGGTTTGGTGACACTAAGGTGTCACCAAGGCCACCTCAAGGGGGTTTGGGGACACAGTGGTGTCACCAAGGCCACCCCAGGGGTGTTTTGGGGACACAGAGGTGTCACCGAGGCCACCCTGAGGGGTTTGGGGACACAGAGGTGTCACCAAGGCCACCCCAAGGGGGTTAGGGACACAAAGGTGTCCCCAAGGCCACCTCAAGGAGGTTTTGGGGACCAAGAGGTGCCACCAAGGCCACCCCAGGGGTGTTTTGGGGACACAGAGGGGTCACCGAGGCCACCTCAAGGGGGTTTGGGGACACTAAGGTGCCACCAAGGCCACCCCAGGGGTGTTTTGGGGACACAGAGGGGTCACCGAGGCCACCTCAAGGGGGTTTGGGGACACTAAGGTGCCACCAAGGCCACCCCAGGGGTGTTTTGGGGACACAGAGGGGTCACCGAGGCCACCTCAAGGGGGTTTGGGGACACTAAGGTGCCACCAAGGCCACCCCAGGGGTGTTTTGGGGACACAGAGGGGTCACCGAGGCCACCTCAAGGGGGTTTGGGGACACTAAGGTGCCACCAAGGCCACCCCAGGGGTGTTTTGGGGACACAGAGGGGTCACCGAGGCCACCTCAAGGGGGTTTGGGGACACTAAGGTGCCACCAAGGCCACCCCAGGGGTGTTTTGGGGACACAGAGGGGTCACCGAGGCCACCTCAAGGGGGTTTGGGGACACTAAGGTGCCACCAAGGCCACCCCAGGGGTGTTTTGGGGACACAAAGGTGTCACTGAGGCCACCTCAAGAGGGTTTGGGGACACAAAGATGCCACCAAGGCCACGTGGGTGTGGCCAGGCCCCGCCCCGTCATTATGGGATTGTGGGGGAGGGCGCCAGTGGGGCACTGGGATGGGACTGGGAGGCACTGGGAAGGACAGGAAGGGCACTGGGAGGCCCTGGGGGGCACTGGGATCGGACTGGGAGGCACTGGGAAGGACAGGAAGGGCACTGGGAGGTCCTGGGGGGCACTGGGATCGGACTGGGAGGCACTGGGAAGGACAGGAAGGGCACTGGGAGGTCCTGGGGGGCACTGGGATCGGACTGGGAGGCACTGGGAAGGACAGGAAGGGCACTGGGAGGCCCAGGGGGGCACTGGGATCGGACTGGGAGGCACTGGGAAGGACAGGAAGGGCACTGGGAGGCCCTGGGGGGCACTGGGATCGGACTGGGAGGCACTGGGAAGGACACTGGGAAGCACTGGGAAGGACACTGGGAAGCACTGGGATGGACAGGGGGTACTGGGAGGCACTGGGAAGGACACTGGGAAGCACTGGGATGGACAGGGGGTACTGGGAGGCACTGGGAAGGCACTGGAGAGCACTGGGAGGCCCCGGGAGGCACTGGGAAGGCACTGGAGAGCACTGGGAGGCCCCGGGAGGCACTGGGAAGGCACTGGAGAGCACTGGGAGGCCCCGGGAGGCACTGGGAAGGCACTGGAGAGCACTGGGAGGCCCCGGGAGGCACTGGGAAGGCACTGGAGAGCACTGGGAGGCCCCGGGAGGCACTGGGAAGGCACTGGAGAGCACTGGGAGGCCCCGGGAGGCACTGGGAAGGCACTGGAGAGCACTGGGAGGCCCCGGGAGGCACTGGGAAGGCACTGGAGAGCACTGGGAGGCCCCGGGAGGCACTGGGAAGGCACTGGAGAGCACTGGGAGGCCCCGGGAGGCACTGGGAAGGCACTGGAGAGCACTGGGAGGCCCCGGGAGGCACTGGGAAGGCACTGGAGAGCACTGGGAGGCCCCGGGAGGCACTGGGAAGGCACTGGAGAGCACTGGGAGGCCCCGGGAGGCACTGGGAAGGCACTGGAGAGCACTGGGAGGCCCCGGGAGGCACTGGGAAGGCACTGGAGAGCACTGGGAGGCCCCGGGAGGCACTGGGAAGGCACTGGAGAGCACTGGGAGGCCCCGGGAGGCACTGGGAAGGCACTGGAGAGCACTGGGAGGCCCCGGGAGGCACTGGGAAGGCACTGGAGAGCACTGGGAGGCCCCGGGAGGCACTGGGAAGGCACTGGAGAGCACTGGGAGGCCCCGGGAGGCACTGGGAAGGCACTGGAGAGCACTGGGAGGCCCCGGGAGGCACTGGGAAGGCACTGGAGAGCACTGGGAGGCCCCGGGAGGCACTGGGAAGGCACTGGAGAGCACTGGGAGGCCCCGGGAGGCACTGGGAAGGCACTGGAGAGCACTGGGAGGCCCCGGGAGGCACTGGGAAGGCACTGGAGAGCACTGGGAGGCCCCGGGAGGCACTGGGAAGGCACTGGAGAGCACTGGGAGGCCCCGGGAGGCACTGGGAAGGCACTGGAGAGCACTGGGAGGCCCCGGGAGGCACTGGGAAGGCACTGGAGAGCACTGGGAGGCCCCGGGAGGCACTGGGAAGGCACTGGAGAGCACTGGGAGGCCCCGGGAGGCACTGGGAAGGCACTGGAGAGCACTGGGAGGCCCCGGGAGGCACTGGGAAGGCACTGGAGAGCACTGGGAGGCCCCGGGAGGCACTGGGAAGGCACTGGAGAGCACTGGGAGGCCCCGGGAGGCACTGGGAAGGCACTGGAGAGCACTGGGAGGCCCCGGGAGGCACTGGGAAGGCACTGGAGAGCACTGGGAGGCCCCGGGAGGCACTGGGAAGGCACTGGAGAGCACTGGGAGGCCCCGGGAGGCACTGGGAAGGCACTGGAGAGCACTGGGAGGCCCCGGGAGGCACTGGGAAGGCACTGGAGAGCACTGGGAGGCCCCGGGAGGCACTGGGAAGGCACTGGAGAGCACTGGGAGGCCCCGGGAGGCACTGGGAAGGCACTGGAGAGCACTGGGAGGCCCCGGGAGGCACTGGGAAGGCACTGGAGAGCACTGGGAGGCCCCGGGAGGCACTGGGAAGGCACTGGAGAGCACTGGGAGGCCCCGGGAGGCACTGGGAAGGCACTGGAGAGCACTGGGAGGCCCCGGGAGGCACTGGGAAGGCACTGGAGAGCACTGGGAGGCCCCGGGAGGCACTGGGAAGGCACTGGAGAGCACTGGGAGGCCCCGGGAGGCACTGGGAAGGCACTGGAGAGCACTGG